CTTGGCTGTGGAGTCAAATGGAACAACCTGCAGGCACAGGTTCACTAAGCCATTTTTTGAGCTTTGAAGTGATGCCACACTCACCTCTTCCTTCAGCTGGAAATACACAAGAGATGCCAAACTTTGTGAGGCCATGTGAGATAACAGCCGATCATCAGAACCCAGCAGGTGAATCTGGAGATAGGTAAAAAAGGAAAAATATCTAAAGCACATCCCTATTTATTTTTCCTGCTTTCCTAAAAACATCTTTCAGAATTTACCAATTTTGAGTCAATTTTTGCCTCCTTCAGAAGAAGAACAAAGATTTCACAGTACTTCTGTCTCACGTGGAGTTCAATTTCCTGGGACTCTGCTTTGGCCACCATCATTTTGATCAAGGTGAGCTGGAGCAGCGTCACCTCCCGTGGGCAGAACGAGGAGCTCATGTTTGCAAAGCTGTTGGACAAATCATCTGCTGCAGGGACAACATCTGACATATCAGAGTCCTGGTGGCTCCCAGTGCCACCAGCAGTAGATGGCAGATGCTGCTGATGACAGGATCCATCTCCTCCTGGTGGCTGCTCAACACGCAGATTAATTAAAGAGGAATAATGATGGCTTTCCCTTGCTAGGGGAATGCCTGCCAGAACGTCCTTATACATCTGCTGCAGGAGACAGATCTTCATGATGAGATCGTGAAATGCTCCACAAAATCCTGTGTGGCTTCACTGATTGTTCACTGCAAATCAGCTTCCAGGTCACTTTCATCCAGTAAGAGAAACAGGAGCACCACTGGGCACTTCTCTTCTAAGTTACCTATAAATAAAACATTCTGCTGTTACTTTGCAAGCAACTGGAAAATACAAAGGAACAACACATTCTTAGAGTTAATGCTACCATTATTAAACTTGTTTTGAAAATGCAAATTCAGCTGCACAAAACCGTCTCAGTGAGACATTAAAATGAAGAACTACCATGCTGGGAAGAAGCTCCCAGCTCCACTATTATATTACCAACACCAAAGGTCATTAGCTGGAATTAACAAACCCAAAGATGATTGTTATTAGGGGCTACTTCTAAAGATATGAGACCTTGGATTAAAGCCTTCTCTACATTGCTAAAACTACTAGAACCTGAACTCTTTTGCGATAGATGCCTCCAAATACAGGCATCAAATTTCAGCTGCAAATTTTCTTCTGAACTGGAAATGCTCATTACTCCACTGAGGCTGGAACTGGAAACAACTCTCAAAAAAATGGAAGCCAAAGGAAGGACAAGTCTTGACTTCTGCTGCACACAGGCTCAGGGTGGGCTGACCTCAAGGGCACAGCAATTAAGGAGCTGAAAATTAAAGAATAATTTAAAATCTGAGTGTAAAATTTCTTAAACATATTCAGGAAAGGTAAAAAAAAAAATCTTTATCCCCATGTCAATGGAAGATATCTTTCAATCACAGCCTGGAAGATTTGCTACAGCTTAAAATTAAGAGCTACTAAGAATTCAAATCTCTGCATCAAGTGTGAGCACCAAAGCCCTCACAATTTTCTGTGCAGTATGTAAATGGCCAAACAGATACCCCATCTTCTCAGGGAAAAAAAACCAAAAAACAAAACAACAACAAACCCTTAAAAATATCAGGGGTTCTTTTTCACCTACATTAAGCATGATGCTCATCTTGTATGATGTATGCATGATGTAATATTTATCTTCTTAGAGCACTTTTAACGTGCTCTCTAGCCAGATCTCTTTTAATTAAACCAACAAACTCATGACCTTTATCTATGGTGAAGTTAGGAGTGGAACTAAAGTTGATTATAGGAATTTTCATACTTTTTTCATACTTTGCATACTTTTTGGATTCCCATTTCTAAGTGTAGCATAATCAACCAGGTAGAATTCCAGGCAGAATCCTGCAGCCATCCACCTGTAGTTGGCTTTTATTTAGATAGTGCATTTTCCCTTTCTTACCAAAGGAAGAAAACAGTTCAGCCTTCCAACCAGTAAGAAATTCTAAAGATCTTCCCATCTATGTATCAGTTTTACCTGCATTTGTCATCAGATCAAATATTTTAAATTACTACTTTTTTTTAGCAGAATATTAGAAAACAGTGGAATTGTAAAAGTCAATATATGAGGCACTTCTGTTCTAGCTTATCATCTTCACAAGTTTTAAAAACAACATCAAACATTGAAAATTACACCTTCATTTTTACAACCTGATTTTTTCATTGCAACTGAAGCATGTATTGACAAAATGGCTTCCCAAAGGCACAAAGGATTAGAGGCAGCCCAAGATGTGCTATCCTGCCTCATCACTTCTCCCACCATCAGGAAGCAGTTCCTTCAGAAAAGAAACTAAAATTTGAGAGCATGAAGTTGCCTGCAGGAGGAATCTACAATTCCCTCTGGTGTGGTATTTTTAAAGACACATTCAGCAAGGGCTGACCTGGAAACTCCAAAATGTTACAGCATGTTCCTTACCTGACAGATGCAAGAACCCTTCCCCCATCCTTTCCCATACTCCACATTTTGCTGGATGTTAAGAATAAATCTGGTATTTCAGGCAATAAATTCCCTCTTCATTTGCAGAATCTTTTCAGAATTCTACTTGAGGTGGAAATTTATGACCTGAAACCTCATAAAATTTTTTCAGAAATCACTCCGAATATTTTATGTAGCTATTGTTCCCATCCTTGAGCTTTATTTCATCCTAAATGAATACCTAATAAAGTAAAATCATCTCAACACATTTACTCCTGTTTTTGAGATCAGCTTGAATTATCACCTTATGTGGTAGATGAAGGGACCTCATGCACAAATTCACACGACCCAGCAAGGTGGTTAAGGCAGAAGAGAGTCAGAACTTTTCTAGGGCACCCACTGTGGGATTTCACCTCCACCACACGACGCTGGCTGTGCCTTCCTGGATCCTCCCAGAACACATTTGTGTTCCACCATTAATTTGCAAACTTTACAAAAGCATCTCGAAGATATGCCTCACTCACACATGACAACAGTGCACAAACGTAAGCCACTGAAGGAAATGAAAAGTGAGGGGGCTTATTTTGAAGGCATTTACTTCAAAGAGGGAGAAAATATCAGACAAGGACTAAATTTGTTTCAGACACAGCACGAGAGTGAAAAGCTCAAAGCTGAAGAGTAAAGGGAAGCAGTGACAAGCTCCAACCCTTATTTGTATTATTTATCTGAGTTACTCACGACTGCATCTAAAAACCAATTAAGGCAACGCCTCACAGAGCCAGACTCCTGCATAAACAACAGGGAACAGTTCTAAAAACCTTATATATAGACTGATCACATAAAGAAAAAAAGAAAAACTACTCAGAAAGTAAGAAACCAAAAAAAGGGGGTTTGTATGTTACTTCCATAATTAATAATGCTTTAAAATGAAAACCAAAGTCAAGTGGAGCTGCAAACAGAACGAGGGAAGAAACTTATACCTCTTCACTTATATCTCTGAGTTATTGTGTGTCAATATAAGCCATTTGTGTTAGTTAAAAAAAAAAAAAAAAGGAAAACGTGCTATCAACAATGTTAGTTCAGTTAAATTAGGAAGAAATTGTTCCCTGCGAGGGTGGGCAGGCCCTGGCACAGGTGCCCAGAGCAGCGGTGGCTGCCCCTGGATCCCTGCAGTGCCCAAGGCCAGGCTGGACAGGGCTTGGAGCAGCCTGGGACAGGGGAGGGTGTCCCTGCCATGGCAGGGGGTGGGATGGGCTGACCTTAAAGGCCCTTTTTTCTAGAAAAAAATATCCAAAACCCCATCCTATTTTCATTAAAAAATGAAATCTGATAAAGCTAAATGAAACCTCAGTCCGTGACTCTTGGCTATGAATCTGAAGGCTCTGGATGTGCTTATAATGAAATGATCATAGCATTTAAGGAATAAAAAAGACTTTGGACTCCTTGTACTCGCAATGACTTGGTAGGCTCATCTCGCAATAAATAAGCTCTTGCTCAGTGCTGAAACACTGTAAACGCCTCTAAATTCGTGTCATTTCCTTCCAGACTTTGCAAACAAGACGAGCAGTGCAATCCCTGTTCACTGTGGCACCTCAGCACGCCGGACGCTTTGGCTGCAATGCTGCCGAGCGCCCTCAGTACCCGCCGGCAGGAGCGGACCCGGACCCGCCTCACCGGCCCTGGCAGCGCTGGGAGCTCATCGGAACCGCGACACTCGGGGTGACAGAGCGAGCACGGAGCCGCCGCTCCTCCAGAGCCCCCACAGCCGCAGCCTGCCGGTCCGAGGCCTCCCACTCCTCCACCAGCGCGGCTTCCCGGCCCGGCATCCGCACAGCGCAGAGACCCCGAGCCTCCGCACCCACCCGGCCACCCCTTCCTTCACCCGCCCGTTTCTCCCTCAGCGCCCTGAGCCCGGGCGCTCTCCCCTCAGCCCCTCCCGCGACCGCATCGTTCTCCAAGGCCCTGCCCCCGTACAAATCAAACCACGCCCATATCGCATCAGCCCCGCCCCTCCTAATGCGGACCCGCCTCTTTCGCTCCAGGCCACGCCTCTCATTCCCCCGGCCCGCACACCCGCGGCCTCGCTTAGTCACCCCGAGCCGCGGAGCGCCCGGGCCCGTCCCCGCCCTGCTGCCCGGCGGCCGCTGCCAGGCAGTTCTCGCCACTCACCCGTCCCCGGCGAACCGCGAGGCCCAAACTCCGCTCCGTCACAGCGCCGGAACCGCCGCCGCCCCCTGTCGCAAAGCCGCCCCCCCACTCCTCCGCGGCTTTACGGCAGCGGGGCGGGGCCGCGGGGCGGGGCCGCCGTCAGCCCGGCGGCCAATGGGGCGCGGCGGCGGCGCGCGGGCGGGGGCGGGCCCGCCGTCAGCCCGGCGGCCAATGGCGGCGCGGCGGCGGCGCGCGGGCGGGGGCGGGGCCGGCGCGGCGGGCGCGGATTGGCCGCGGCGCGGGTCAGTCCCCGCCCGCCGACCCCGCCGCGAGCCGAGGGGGGCGGCCCGGAGCGAAGTGTCCCCGCTCGGCTCGGCCCCCCCGACCCCCCGCCCGCCGCCGCCGCCAGCGCGGGGGGCGGCCGCGCCCGGGGCCCCCGGCCCGCCCCGCTCCGGCACGCGGGTCACGCAGGTAACCCCGGCTGCCCCGGGGTCCCTCGCGGCGCGGGGAGGGGGGGGCGCGACCCCATGGCCTCCCCTCGCCCACACCGGGCAGCCCCTCTGGCGGGTGCGGGGCCGTGAGGGGAGCCCCCGCCGCTCCCTCCGGGAAGGGCTGCGCAGCCCCCAGCCGCCCCTGCTTGCTCCCCCGGCGGGCTCCGGGCCGCCCCCGGGGCTGCCCAAGGAGGGGGGTCCCCGTTCCCGGCCCCCGGCGGCGCCCCCGGTGCCTCGGCGGCTGCCGGGCCTTGGGGCTGTGCGCCGGGGCTTGGCCGGCTTTTTGTGTGTGTGTGTGTGTGTGTGTGTGTGTGTGTGCGCCGCTGACGGCTCCTGGAGCGTGAACTCCTGCGAGGGAGAGGTTTGGTTTCCCAGCAGCTCAGCTTTCTGGGTTACTTCCTGTCCCATTCTTTAGCACTTATCTTTACTTCCATTCCCTGGAGGAGCTGCCTTGACAGGGCAGCGGTCCTGCCGTTATTATCCCTTCAACTCCTCAGTATCCTGGGAGAGTGTCCTCCTTTTCCAGGAGAGATCCTGATTTTGATGAATAACGCCTTTCCTTCCAAATTTGTGAAGGCTCTTCCTATTTTGCCCAGCTATTGCTTTTGTATTAACCAATTCTGTTCTTCATTTCTCTTTTATGTCATTGTGTGGCTCAGTTCTACTTTTATTTTTTTTTCTTAGGTTTAAGCTGCCTTAAAGGAGAATTAAAAATAGTGACTCCAAAGAACAAAATAACACAGAAGAGAGAAAACAGCACTCAAAAAACCCCCAGAAAGGTGATGATTCATTTAGACTCTGAGAGTCATCCTAGACACATGGTTTGGCTGGGATTGGGGCCTCTTGTGTTTTTATGGATTTGAATAGGTAGCATTAGATTTCTTTGTTCTTTTAAAACCTACTTTCTGTTGACCTTTTTTTAAAGTTTGAAAGCTCTGAATCCCATTTGAAGTACAGTTCCTCTCGTAACATTTTATAATTTTCCAAAATTATTCTGCAAATGTTGTTTTGATTATGAATTGCTACTTAATGGGGTTTTTGTGTCTTCATCTCAGGGGTGTCACTTAAAAATACTTTGCTCTAAGTCGTTAAAAGGATCTTTTCTTTAAGTCTTTCCACAAATTTATGGGTTCAGCACTGCTTCTGTTTCTGTTTCAATTCTAAAATCTTTATTGGGCTAGGTCATGGTAACTGCATTACATTGGTTTAGTCATACCTCACTCCTGTGTGGGTCACTTTATTGTGTGTGTGTTGTAACGGAGCTGCAAAAATTGAAATTAATTTAATTAGATGGTGTCTGCTTACAAATACTTACTTTTTGGGCTGAGATCATAGAAGAAGATGATGCTGTTGGGTGCTTAAGGGAAAAAAATGAAAGGAGTCATGAAAACCAATGCTGCTGGTAGGAGGGAGGTTCTGTTTCGGGGGGGAGCTGTTCGTAGGGAGAATTGCGTGTTTTACGTGGTGAGATGAAGAAATGGATCCTAGGAGAGAGAGTGGGGGGTGAATGATGTCAGTGAGAGTTTTTCTGCATCCTGCTGTTAGTGTGCTCCAAAGGATGGAGACTCTGCGCCTTCTTCTAACGCAGGGTCTGTCTTGAAGCCATTTTAATCTGTTTCAAATGTAGGGGAGCTTGGTTCTTTGGCTGAGATGCCCTCCCTGGAGGTCCCTGTGGTCTGTGTCGTGTTTTCAGAGATGTCACTGGCTGTACCAAAACGTTGTTCATTGTTGGCAATCAGTTGTTTTTGAGCATTAGCCTGCAGGAGGAACAGCAGTGTTTGTTGCCAACAGCCTTGGTCAAGGCTGGATCATTTTTCCCATACACGTCTTTAGATTAAGACAAAAAGTGGTTGCTCTGTGTTGAAGATTAAATGGAAAATCCCTCTGTAACACAAGTGCAGCAATTCCTGAGGCACACTTTGGAAGTGCAGGGAAGAAATTTTCCATGTTATTTTGATAACTCAGGAGTAATGGCAGAACATGTGGACATGCCCAGTGTGATTCCAGGAGGGATTTTCCTGCTAATAGGTGAGGCAGATGTGCATCAGTACAAACTTACCAGTGCAGTTATTGCACAGCTGTTTCATCTGAATTTAGTTTATTTTAACTCCCTTTTCCCAACCCACCCAGTGCCTCTCACGTCAGGGCTGTAGCAGCTCTGACAGAACACCTCGTGGTGCCAACAATTCATGGGATCTTTGGGATTTGTTCACAACAGGAGACCTAAGTTTTCATTTGATTTGTGAAGTTCCTTCCTAGTGTGAAATGCCGGTGCAGCAAAGTTTGATTCAAATGCAGAGACTGGAATTGAGTTCATAGGAATCAGGGAATTAACTTCTGGCAGAAATTTGCACATGGCTGAAACAAGGCACAGAGATCACTGATATGCTGAAGTCCTGCTCTTGATCCCTGGAAGAAATGCAGCATGTTGCAAGTATAGCAGACCTTTAGAGAAAGCTTTAGTCTTCAGGCTCTATGCTCATTTTGGGTTTGTTTTTCCTCATTGGGAATTCTCAACCCTTAAAGGAAATGTGCTGTCTAGAGGGATGGTTTTGTTTTGTTCCAGCAATGCTTACAGAATGATATTATCACAGTGAAAATCTTGCTGTGTCCACTAAAGACATCCAACAAATTTTGTCCACTTGGACTCTTTTAGGCTGTATTAAATAGAAATATATATCAAATGCGTTTCTAGAGATTGTTGAATGACACAAACCCTGTAAGCAGCACTCAGTTGGTTTATCAGCTGTGCTGTGAGAATTAGGACTGAAGTGACTCCTTTAATGTGGTTTGAACTCACCATTGGTTCTTGCTTCTGTCATTCCTTGCAGTGTTGGTGTTTGGGTGCTCTAATGGTAGTAAATCATGTGAAAATACATAGATCTTAGCAATTAACACTTGCTACAAATTAATTACTCATAAGGCTAAGCTTCCATCTGACTTTTGCTGTTTAAAACTTAGTGATAGCACTGCTGGAAGTTGGAGGAGAATTGGTATTTTTTGCTTGGTACACGAGGATCTCCATGCATGCTGCAGAGCACAAGCTCCCTGCAGTTTGTCAGTGCACATCTTGAGGGAGGAGGTTCTGGCTGTGTGAACCTGATGCAGCATTCTCTACTGAAAAAGGAGTTGGAAGGCCTTGCTTCAGCATCAGCATGGAGGTCCTGCCTTCAGAAGGAATTGCAGGATTTTATTCCCGGGGCTCTGCTTGTGCTTAAGGTTGCCAGTGTATGGTGGGGGTGCTGAGGATGCTGAGTGGTTGTTGTGCTTGCTGAAGGTGAAGTTTCCCTCAGGTTTACAGACCTGAAGTTGCTTGAGCTGGGTGATGTCTCTGATTCTCCATCAGGCCCAAAGTCAGACCTCACAACCTCTCGGTGAGATGGATAATTGTAGTAAAATGACACCCCTGTGCTTCAGTTTCACCCACCTGCAGAATGTAACAACACAACAGCTGCTTATTAGTGTGTAACAACACCACCGCTAGTTCTAGGAACACCTGAAGTTGGTGGGGCACTTGTAGATTAACTCTTTTGATTATTTTAAATTTTGTGTGTCCGAGCTATGAGCTGGCCTTACAGGAGCTCTCACGAGGAATGTGTAACTTTTAATGACACCTTGTGAGGAGTGAAGGCCTCTTCCCTTTGAAGCAGCAGTTCCTCTGTGATCTTTTGGATTCATGCACTGTTAACTCATTGCTTTTTTGGATTCATGCACTGTTAACTCATTGCTTTCAGGCCCAGCAACTCTCTTGTGTTGCTTGGTGATTTTCATCTCAACCACAGGGCTATATCTCTCTTGGTGTCTGGGCTGTAGCATGGAACTTTCAGCAGAAATATATTTGGGATTATAAGGCTCTGTGAAATTTTGATATTTCACATGTTACTTGCAAACTTCACGATTGTGATGTGAGAATGCAAATGACAACACAATTGTTTGCCCTACTCTCTTGTCTGAAGAGCTCTTGGAATAGGAGCATGAGTGACAGCTGAAATGATGGTTGTGTTTAGTTTGTCAAAAATACAGTGACCATTTTTAAAATGCCATGTGAGTGAGAGAACACATTTAGCTTGTTCAAGCTTTGAAATGGGTAGGAGAAGTGAGTTGTGAGACTAATGAAGGCTGATATGATTTTCCTTATTCCACAGGGCTTTCCTTTTTTCTGTTGTTTATTTGCTTTAAATGTCTCGGAATACTTCCACCACAGGCAACTCAGACCTACCCTGATGAGGTCTATGCCAGATACTAAATGTCACATGTAATGGTACACTTCCCTTGTTGTACAGAGTTAGGCTGACATCAGTAATTTATGGTCCTTATTCTGCTCTTGGGTGTGTAATCTCAGAGTTTAAGGATCAGCTCTTTCTGTCAGGCCGTGTGAATGAGCAAAATACTGAATTTTGAGGTCTTGCTTTTTCTACCAACCTTTAACTTTCTTTAAAGTAAGTGTATACATATGTTGGAATTAATTTTCCACATGATGTTTGCAGTGACTTTAAAGAAGTGACACATTGATGTGGCAAAGTCTAAGATCTCTTTGACAACATGAGACATTATCAATAGATAATGAGGATGTTTGTCTTATTATTTTTATTTAGTGCTGCCTCTACTATAATTATTAGCATTTTAATCAAACTTTGTTAAGTCATTGAGTGAGGGAGCTTTACTCTTACTAAATATGACTTATTTTTATTAAAGTTGCAGATCTTACTCTTGCCATATGCAGCTAATTTTCCTTTGGGGGGAAAAAGCTTGTTACTTTTTTAGTGGAGCAATCTGTTACCTTGTCTGTAGTCTGTGAAGTCAGTGCAATTCTAATTTGCATCAGCTAATAAAAAATGTGTGGGTTTTAAAGTGAAAATCATGCAAAAATTTAAAAAAAAAAGGTGAACGACTGATCATCTATGCAAAAAAACAAGGCTAGAAATGTGATCAAATTAGGTCATGGCAGTGCAGTTTTGTGCAGGGCTGTAAGCATATCTGAAGACCTTGTATGTTTTATCTTGGGAAGCAAAGCTCTTGGAAAATGTGCATAAGAGGGATAAAAAGGGCTTTTTTTCATCCTCCTCTTTGAGCTATCATTGCAAAAGGATGATTTTATGTTGCATTAAGTGGCAGAAATTTAACTTAATCTAAGAGAGAGCTGCACAGTTCAGGGAACTGCTCTGGTGCAACTCGTTTGCAGAAGGAACGAGTCGCAGTTGGGTTTGTGTGATCAGCTGTACAATTAAGTATTTAATGGTTTTATTGTTTATTACATGATTGCAGTGCTCAGATGAGATAAGGGAGCCTTTCACGAAAAGTTTGCAGCCAAAGGAAATGAAAGGTCAGATAAAGGTGTAGAAAGAATTAGTGGAATAACAGTGATGAGTACAGCAGGAATGGTCTGGGACTGATCCCATTAACTGCAGGTGACAGGGGGGGTAAGGAGGGGCTACTTGAAGGAGGAATCTGCACAGGGGTTGTAACTGGCTTTTGGTAAACCTTGATTCTAAAAGGCTGGTTTTTCTACATGAAGGAAAGGGTGAAGATTTTTGAGCTGGTGGTTTTCTTGTACTGTGGAGGTGGCTTTACCTGTTTGTGAAACACAGCGTGTGTCAGCTTGAGCTGTCACATGAGGGACAGGAGACAGGCTGGTGGCTCTGCAAATCCAGCTGAAGGACACAACTCAATGGTCTAGGGGCTCAGGTTTTATTCTTTACTTAGGGAAACAGAGATGGAGATTTAAAAAAAACAAAACCCAAACCCCATACAAAAACAACAATAAAAAACCCCCACAAACAAATAAAAAGCCCACAAAAGTAGTTTGGGAAGAACTAAATGGATCCTGAATGTTTTTCCTGGCATCTGACTCCCACAGGGAGGTGTTGAGCAGTGAGGCAGAAATACCTGCTGTAACCTTTGTATCCATTCTTGTTCCATACAGGAGGGGCAGATACATGTAATTATTAGAGAAGGGTGTAGACTGCTTCTTCAGGGTATACTCCAGAGAGGAAGCGCATCCCTCATTTCTCATGTCTTCCATAAAATATTCCCTGTAGCCTTTTCCTCATGTGGCAGAAGCAAACTCTGCCCTCCCCAGCCTCTGGAGGACTCTTTGATAATGATAGAAAACACACTTTGGGTCTTTTCTGACAAAGCTGCATGAAAATGTAGCATTCTCACTCACAAAGTAAAAGTAAGTAAACCTCTTGCTCTTATTCTTTACAACTAACAAGAAATACCATTTTTTTAAAGGGGTAGCAGGTTGTTTGACACACATGGGCACAGAAGATTATGAACAGTGAAGACAATGAAGAGTGGGACATCCATCAAAGAGTAACAACCTCTTATAAGGTAATTCAGGACCACATTGAGTTTATCCTGTTGTACTTGCAAAATCAATTAAGTAACTGTTGCTGTCCTCCATTTTCATGGTGCTATAAAATCATTATAACCAAGAATATATAGGTCTATTTTTCCCCCCTATGCTTCCTTTTGTTTTTTTACTTGCATGCAGAAAGCCAATATGTAACAACCCAAATGCATGCTGAGTTCTGAACGAGATTGATTACAGTTGCAAAACATTAAATATTAAATGCCAAAGGGCTACTTCCAGTAGGCCTCCTTCTCTTCTCCAAAGATTGATGTCTTAAATGGGGCTTTGCAAACAGGAATTTTAAATGATCTATGGAGCAGAAGTAAAAATGTTTTCAAAGCTGGTGTGTACCTAAAACTATCCTGAAACCTTTAATGTTATGGTTAAGTATTCTTGTCATTTGAATTTCATTGCTTGCCATAGGGGTGAGATGGAAGAGTGGATATTTACAGAAACTGTGCAAGTGATAAAAGGAGCTGCCTGACTTTGTCTTCTGCTTTGTATGTTTTAGTACTTATGTACTTTAGTACCAGCTAATTTGAATAAGCTCTGCTAGTCACATGCAACATATGGAGCCAATGCCAATTTTTTATAATGCTGCATTACAAATATACCCACCAGCTGAGAAGTGTGAGAGAGAGAGCTCTGCTTTTCCTCAACCAACTGTCTTCACAGAGAGTTGCAGGGGGAAGGAATACTGCTGGCCCTTCAAATGAGAAATCCCATTTCATCTCTTTAGTCATCCCATCTCTTTCTGTAGCATTTTGAGCAACTAGCCTGACCTTAATCTTCAGGATCACTTGAGGGCTTGCAAGTATTGGTCCTTTACAAGAAGGGACTGTAAAAATGGCATCATAAAGTTTGTTTACATTAAGTTTTGATCAGATATTCTCAGTTTGAAAAAAAGTTTTCATATCTTGTTTTTGTAGGTATTCAGAAACTAGGGCTAAAAGGGACATGGTCTGAATTAGAATTTTTTAAGGGTTTTGCATGACTCATCATCATCAGTTAGATTCTACTGTCAGTTTTCACCTGCAAATCCAAAGATCTTGCTCTTGCAGCTGGAATTTCATTACCAGTGCTGTTAGTGGTGTGATGCAGAGTGAAGTCAAGCTCCCTGTCTTATAGGTGAACATGTTCTGAAGTGCTAATTGGAGTTTAGAAAAGAGCTTAGCAAAAGCTTATTAGAGTCAATAGAAATACTTCCATTGTCATCAGATTAACCAAGTTTGATTTTTGGAATATGCTGCAGAAGCTGACCTATTGAGTTGGCAGTTGCTGCTTTGTAAATCCCCTTTCCTCCCAGCCTCAGATAATGAAGTTCACACTGTAAAACAAAACAAAGCCAGTTTCTAAGCCATGTATAACATATGGAGCTAAAAAGTCTTCTTTAATAACCCTATGCTGAAGTAGTGATTGTTGCCATACATGGTAAGCTGAAGCATTTATAAATGTCAAAGACAGGCATTTGCTGTGTGTAATTTCCATATTTGCAGGGTAAGTGGGGTCACTGGAGCACCTGTTAATTATAAGTTTATATCTCTCCAAAAAGCAGATAAATAACTTTCATACCATAGGCACGATGAGGTTGTAGACGAGCAAATACCCACTGTGCCTTTGTCTGCAAAGTTGGCAGTGATTGATGCTTTCCCTTTTCTCTTGTCTGTGGGTATACCTGCATCACAGGAAAACAAGTGTCCAGTGGGATATGGGGAGGTGATTGCAATTTCTTTTGAATGACCTGTGGATCACGAGGATCTGGAAGTCTTTTTGATACCTAAAAGAAGGTTTAGGAGGTGATGTGTGTTGACATCCTAAGAAACCCCAAAATTCCTGTAAATTTTAAGTTTTGCCTGAAATTAATTTTCATCATTAGAACTTTTCTTTGTACTTTAATGTTGATTAACTTTGCAGGAGTTTAAATACATTCCTGTTTTTAATCTTCTAGGTCTGTGTTGATATCCATCCACGTTTGAATATTTTCTGAGGCTCCTGTTGCTCAGCATTACCTTACTCATACTCTGCTTTTACTCTTTCTTCTGATACTCCTTTCTGTTTTAGGACTATGGGATATAATACACAATGTATGTGAAAATGCAATCATTTAACTTTGTGTGCTGGGGAACAATCCCTAAATACCTGTTCATTTTCTTGTCCCCAAGTAGAACTGCAGGTGGTACTTTTCAAACAGAGCATGGAGTACACAGTATTGCTCTCTTTCCCAAGGTGTGCTTCCTTCTAGGCTCTTTTACAGTGGCTATTTTAGATACCCTTTTGGCCCAGCTGTCATGTACTGTATCAAGGTAATTATAAATGGAATTATTCTGATACATGTTCTCATGGTGTTTGACAGGACTGTAGTAACTGCGCTTAAATGTATTTTCAGGTCTCATATAATGTTATCCTTGTATTTGATTTTTGGAACGTAGAAGTTCTTTGCAGCCTGTGTGTACTAATTAAGAAATGCTCAAGCCAGAATACAAACAGTAGACTCTAATTAAAGAAAAAAGATAATTAAAGTTTTCAGTTTGAACATTAGTGTTACTAATACTCACATGCAGTAGGTCACAGGATTCTTTTGGTAAGATATTTTCACTGAAGCTTACAAGGGGTGCATTTCTAGAAAAATGAAGAGTATCATAGTTCATTTACTGTAGCAATGCAGTGTTGTTCCCTGCAACTGTTTGGATCATCCATTCCTTAGTTTGGATAATCCATTTAACCAGTGTCTCTGGAGGTAGTGATTTAACCACAGTGTGATTTTGAAATGGATGGTGGCTTCTGGAGATTTTTCATTTTGCTCATTGCTCGGTTGCTTTAATTGTGAGCTCCTGTTTGATGCTGTCACTTCTGAAGAAAACATTTACTATTTATAATGTGCAAGTGTCCTTTTCTTTTGCATTTCAGTGATGTCACCATGTACTATGATTTTGCTAATAAGAGTGAGATCATTTGGGGTTTATCCTCTGTGTAACATCACTTTTCCAGCATACAGAGAGTCGTCTTAGGATTAACGGAACGCGATGCTTTCTTTCCTACATCCCCCATTTCTGATCCCAATCCTAATTTATTCCTGCTTCCCATTGACTGAAGGTGACTCGTGTGAGCTCATGAGGCTCCTGTAAAGGCCAGACTCAGCTAGGATGTTACACCACCACTGCAGGAGGAACCCTGAGCTGCAGGAAGAGTTGCAGATCCAGGCTGCCGTGGCCGCCGGCGATGTCCACACCGTGCGCAAGATGCTGGAGCAGGGATATTCCCCCAACGGCCGCGACGCCAACGGCTGGACCTTGCTTCACTTCTCTGCAGCAAGGGGCAAGGAGAGGTGTGTCCGAGTCTTTCTGGAGCATGGAGGTGAGTTCCCCACAGAGGAAAGTCTTTATACTCATCTGTATTTGTTTTGGTTTCGGGTAAATCTGCTTTAGGGTAAATCTGGGACTTCCCCACAGAGAAAAATCTTTATACTTATCTTTTTTTTTTTTTTTTGGTTTAGGGTAAATTTGGAAGAGAACTTTTTAAGGTGTTTTTTTTTTTTTTTTTTAGAAAAGTAGATTTAAATGGTTCTTTTCTTAATTGGTTTGGGAGCAAACTTTTTTTTTGGGAAAATTGGAAAAAATTGGTTTTTAAGTAATAAAACTTAAATAAGATTAAATAATAAAACTTCTTGTTGTTGTAAAAGAGATTAAAACTCTTTTTTCATCTCAGAAAAGTCTCTTTTTTGGGTTGCAGTTTGGCTTACTTAGCCTTTTATTAGTTTTTTTTGGCGTTGGAAATGTTGTGGCTCAGGCCTGGCTTGGTGGGCTGTAGCTGTGAGTTGGTGGTTTTTTGGCTGTTTTGTTTAGAGTAGGTTTAAATAGGCTTAAAGAAAAAGGGAAAAAATCTCTAGTTTAGGGAACTTTTTTGCTTTAGCTAGTTCAAACTAATTAAAGTGAGAGTTCTGTTTTGCTGTCTGTCTATCTGCAGACAACAACAGTTTAGGAGTAGTGGTGTGGAGGAGTGAGTGCAGTGTCTGAAAACAAACTGCGTGCTTCTCTCCCCCCTTCACTCTCTGGAGCAAGTCTTAAAGGTGCAAAACTTATTATTCAGCATAAACAGAACAGACAGTTGAGGATAAAAGCATCATATAGCAAACCCAGGGGATAGAACATCATATGGCCGACCTAGGACATCATCTGACACCTTTCTGTCCCAGTTTGCACTGCAGGACTTTCCAGCACTGGTTAGATATAAAATACTTCTGGTTATCTTTTGTAATTATTATTTTTTATTCTTTTGTTCTTAATATTTGTTTATTTCTGATGCATACTCTGTGAATGACATCACAGCTTAGCTTTATATTTTAATAACTATTTCCCCCCAGCATTGCCTAGGAATTGTTCAAGGAATGAATAAGCATTATGAAAATAGGGCATTATAAGGACTCATTATAAAATGAAATGCACTCACTACATGGTTCTCTTCTCTGTTAGGGGGTATTATTAGAGGAAGGCAGATCCCTGAATTTAAATCCTAGGGAAGCTTGTTTCAGAATTCTAAAGCAAGTTAACCAATTGCATTAAAGACTAAATTTAATATAGGCTTTAACAGAATCTGCTAAACTTTATGAAAACAGTCCTTTTTGTGCAAGAACTTCACTGTCAGCTAATCCAGATGAGTTTACAGCTCTCCTGCATCCAGCCACGATGGAACTTTATTTCAAGAGCTGACTGAGTTTTGTTGATTTAAGTGGTACTCATGTGGGTGATGATTATTATGCCTCAGGTGGTACAGTCAGAATTTCTCATTGCTTTATCATATTCCAAGGCCACCTGAAGCTTTAGAAAGGGATCATCCTAATCTTTTAAAGTGGTGCTGGAGAGGAAATCAGTAGATATTCTCCACAGCATCCACTGTTCTTACCAAATGAATGATGAGGTGCTCAGTCCCAAGGAAACTGAAATGATCTTCCTGATGCTTTGTGTATCTGAGCCATATGGACCCCTTGTGTCTGTCACTGGGTTTGTCAGCTTATGGATCATCCTGAAAGTGGGGTGGCATTGACAGGCTGTGGTGATGGCACAATCAGTGATTTGTTCCTTAAGAGCAGTGGTGAGATACAGCCTGAGCAACTGGACTCTGTGGATGCACTTACTACAGATTGTAACCACATAGAAAGGGCAAACCCTCATGGCCTTCTTGGAAGGGGAAAAAAAATATTTCTATGTAGTATATAACTTTAAATTCCACTTTTTAAAAGTAATATATGCAGATAATCTCAAACCTTCAAAAGCTTAAGGCTTTAAGTCACAGACATTGCTTTTAACTTTTTATCTGTAAGTTTAAAGATGATAAAAAACCCCCAATCCCTTCTGTATTCCAATGTATTTTCATTTTATAGGTTTTCATAATACATAGCTGCTGATGCAGCAGTTTGTTTTTATTTTTGTTGTTACTCTTTCCCATACAAAGTAGCAGCTGAATGTGATGCCTCATGAAAACTGCCAGTAATGAAACACCTTTGTCCTGAGGCAGCTTGGAGTTGAATCACCAGGATGAGAAAGTTGAGTAACAAATAGTGTGAGGTTTAGTCATCCACAGCAGCTTCCCTGCAGCTGAGCCTCGCTCCCCAAAATTGGCACTGCCTGCTGCCTTGCCTCATTTACCCTCAAAACAGAGGCACAAAAATAATGAGTATTTATCACATAATAATGTCACAAATGAGTTATTAAGTAGCAAGTGAGTTGACTCTCACAAGCTGAGTTAATCATGCCACCCTCATTAGGCCGAGGTTTGTGTCTACCTTTGCTCACGTGGTCTCTCCTTTTCTCCCTCTGGAGTGGATTGTTTTGCTGCTGGTGCTTAATCCCTGTGGAACAAAAAAAAGATACTGGGCTGAAGGAAAAAGTCCTTTTCTGTTGTGAATCTTATGGTAAAATAGAGAGTGTTGAACTATATATTGGTAATAAATTGACAGTGAGAGGGAGCCTGTGGAGTTCTGGGGGAAAGAGGGAACTGAGATGGGAAGGAAGGGGTGGCTGGTGGTGGTTGTGGCTGTCTGGAGGGTGATGGAGCTGAGCAGAGCTGGGAATATTTTCATGGGGAAAATAGGAATGGGAAAAGCACAGTGGGCTGCTGCTGAGGGCAGAGTGCTGTGCCTCAGATCTGAGATGCTGCAAGGCTCCCAGCATAGCCTGCTGGTGGGATGGAGGCTGAGTTGGGCTAATAAAGGCTGAGAAGGAATCTGGTCACTGACCTGGAAATAAAAAGTAGATTCTTATGGGAGTCATGACCTGTGCACCTCCTGCTTTTGCTTTTTCTCTTCCATCATTGCTCACCAGCAAAGAAAAGGGCCAGAGGACAGTGTTGTGCATGCAGATTGGCTGTTTGAGTGGAGCTGGTGGAACAGCAGGAAGCTTTTTATTATCTGCTGAGGAAGGAGACACAGATAGATGGGGAAAATGCAAAAAAAACCCATTCCAGACTAAAGGATGAAGCCAACAAAAATACCAACTAGATAGAGAGGGAATAAATCAGATAACAAATACTATTTATCAACTGGTGAAATGCAGAAAGTTCATCATAACCACGGAGAAACTTAGTTTTCATAAGAAATAATTAATTTTACTTTCTTAGTGTATTTGTCTCACTTTATTAAAGTGAATATTCTATGAAGCCATCCCTTCCCACCCATAGAAATTGTCCAGAGTCACAAAGCAACACCAAAACAGAGTGCATTTTTTAGTAATCTTTTGTAATCTAGTAAAACAAGCCTGTTTTCCCTTTAGTGTACTTTGTAAATTTTTAATATGACATACAGAGACAGACCATCCAACACCAGACAAGAAATATTTTATTAATTTCCAACCACTGCTATTAATGTTACAACAAGCTAAAATCTTGAAAGTGTCCAGTTAGCTGTCCCTTGGTGATACCTTCTCAATATTAACTGAGCACTTTCTGGTTATTCGTATTAAAATGGAGAAGTAATTCACTAAAGCTCCTAGAAATGAAATAGTAAGAGAAAGTAGCCAAGCAGCCCTATTTATTTATTTTTAGTCTTGGCTTCAAGGTATCTAAATTTCAGTAAGGTCAAGCACAGTCTGGGAGGATCTAGAGAATGCCAAATGCTCACCCCCCCTAAGCTCCTAAAGTGTTTCTGTCTCTGAACAGTAATGCTTTCCTGGACATCTTCTGTATCAATGTTATCTTAGGAAATTCAAAACAGAAGCTGCATGTAGCCATGCTTCTAAACCTTGTGGTCAAAATTAAGCCCCAGCTGAGGGAAATAAGCTTGAAATAATAGAAGTACTCAATGAAGCCAGAAGCATTGCTTAAGCATTGCTTTCTTGGCTTCCAAATTACTGTGATAGAGTGACCTAAGGAAGGTGTCAAGGAAAAAGGAAAACTGTCCCACTGAGCTGTAAATTGAAATTCTGAAATATGAGTCTTTTATTTATCAATCTATATATCCTCTAGATTGCAGTATTAGAGTTTTATTAACAGTGGACTTTAAATAACTATTTAATATCTAGTTTATGTGCCCAACTTTCACATGAAATAAAATAATCTTAGTATCATTCAATGCTACAGATTTTCTATCTGGAGTGAGATTGATTGCAGTAATTGGTACCCTTGATAAGCTGTTCAAGTTTTCTGCCATTATATTTTGCCTCATATTTGAGAACATTGGAAGTGACCAAATGCAGTTGTTCATGTTTCTATAATCTGCTCTCCCCATGTGAATGGGAGGCTTGGAATGAAAGAAATGTCTGACAGTCAGAATGGAGATGAGCTAGAGAACTGCTGGCAGGTGCTGGCTTGATCCTTTTCTAGCTAAAATTGCCAGGTAGCTTTTACCCCTCTGCAGATTCTAAAAGGTTATCTGAGAGTCATTCCCAATTCATTTTTACCTTGCTCATGTTCCAGGGGAAGAGAGTTGCTTTACAACATGATACCAATACTGAAAATTTTAGAAAAATCAGAAAAAAGCCCCACAGCAGCACAAGTTCTTCAGGCAGCATCAGCTTTGGGGTGTTACTTTTACTAAGACAGGGACTGGGTGGATGGAATTAGTTTGCAACTTCATGCAGGTCCAGCCTGTGCTAAAAGCTCGTGTGAAATTCGGGAGTTTTCCAGGAGGTGGCAGCAGGACATTGATGGAATAGCAACAGACCTTTCGATCCTGCTGAAATTGTTTCTCTAATCCGGAGGCAGACTGTTGGCTCACTAGAAATCCATACTCTTAATGGGAATTACAGTATATTTTCACGAGGTTTTTCTAAGGGGTTTGTTATGGAAAGGTTGGTTGTTTGTTTTGCTTGGTTGCCCAACTGTGAGGCTTTTTTTCCTATCCTTCTTAAGAAACTTCTCTTACATGACTTAGTAATTTTTTGGTTCACTTTAGTGGTCAAAAGCAATGACATTTTGGGAGTAAGGAAGGTGTGGAAAGGTGCTTAAAACTGTAGGTAAAAGGCATCCTTGTGTTGCAGGCAAATTGTTTGGTTTGGATTACCACAACCAGTATAAAAGTGCATATAGATGCACATATAAAAGTTGGGCCATATCTGCTTGAGTTTGGAAATGGCACTGATTAAACAGGCTTTGGCAATGACCTGCACCTCATCTGGGGGTAGAAATGATGCCTTGCATGCCTTATGCAGTGTGGGAGAGAGAAGGTACAACTGAAACATTATTTCTTTTTAAAAATGGTTTTTGGTGGAAGGCAGCTCTGCGTACTGCTGTCCCCTTTCCATCATGTCCCTCTTTGTCCCCAATTCTGCCCCTCAGGTTGTACCATCCCTCTGCTTGTTCTCATGCCTGTTACCCACTTTATTTATCACCACTCAGAAGTCAATGTAGAATAGTCTGAGCTATTGTGAATAAAGATACCCTGGGAGCAGCATCACTTTGAAATATTATCTTTGTGTGGGTTGTGCTGATTATTTGCTGCATTTTGGATGTGATCACAGTGCAGGTTAAGAACTCCCATTCAGTCACTGGCTGCATTTTCCTGCTGAGCTGTGGGTGCTGCATTCATTCCTTTAGCTCAGGTTAGTGTGACTTTTCAGAGCACTGAGACTTCTGCTTTTCATGGGGGATTAGGAAAGCTGTCACTAGCAAGGAACTAAACTTCCCCTAACATATCCCTTATTTCTGTGTTTATTCCTGTTCTGTGCACTAGAGGCAGTTCTCACATCTTATTTCTCTGTGTAGCCAGGCTGCATTCATTTTTATGTTGGTTTTTTTTTTTTTTTGTTAGTTTGTTTCCTTCCTCTCCATCTTCTCTTTCCATTTAGAAATATCCTTAAAGTTGCTGGATCATCTTTGCAGCTGTATTCTCTACTCCTTCCTTCCAGTCTTTTCATTTTGGTATAGTATCTGTCTTGGTGTTATCAGGATATGATCACAGTGGGTTGGGAACAGGAATAAGGTTCCCAATATTCCTGTTTTGTGTTTGCACCTTTATGTGTTCAGGTGTGTTCAGTCTAGGGTAGCCTGCAATTAATATTGTGTTTTGAACTTAGAGCAGGTCTTCTGGTGCAGATGGTATCTAACTGAGGCTGGGAAAGTGTTCAGACTTCCACACTGTAGTTTGTACCTTTTAGTGTCCAACAGTAGCACCCATGGATGGTGGAAGGAGAAACTTCAAAGCCTGGCTTGTTCTCTAGCTGAGAAATGGCACCTTGCCTTGGGTAATTAATTAGTCACTTGTATAACAAGTTTGGGTGTCCTGAGGAAATTGGGTAAATTGATTGGATTATTTTAATTTTTAAATTAATAAATCAGTCTGAGTGTTTGTGCTGTGTGAAGAGGAAATAAATCTGTAATTACCTGTACTCTGCACTAACAGTTTATCTGACTCCTTTCAGAAGTGGGTTTTTACATTCCTGAATTCTTGTGAAACTATAAATTCAGAACAGGTTCTAAACAGATTCATCATCTATGAAAAGAGACTTTATCAAGATAATCTAAAATAACATACATCCTACATGCTTTGGAAATCCTGCAGACCACAGAGAAACATTTTACCTAATACAGCATTACACCCTAAAAACAATACAATGCTGCCAGACCACAAAACATCCGCAATTTGGGACAGCAGATGTTTCTACACATGCTTCTTTTTAAGACCAAGAAGCAACACAAGGGAAAATAAAAAGTTGAACATTGAGAAAGAAATGTAATATTGTAGAGCTGGGGGAAAACTGGATGGACAGAAAGATTTGAGTAATTAGTAATTAATTCCTAAGAGTGCTTGGAAGATGTGGAAAAGTATTTGTCAAATGGAAACATATGTATGAGGAAAAAATTGTATTTAAGAACGAGTTACAAAAAAATTTTTTTTTCTAACTTTGTCTTAAAAATAGCATGTTCATGAAAGCAAGAATTAGTTTGAAGTACAAAAAATCCTGTCATGCTATGCCTGGAAAGACTAGCAATTACCATTCGAATTTTTTTTTTTTTAATTTTTTTTTTTTTTTTTCCAGCACCGGATTACCGTAACGCCTTCTAATTATTTTTAAATTTTATTTTAACTTCAGCTGATCCCACAGTTAAGGACTTAATTGGAGGCTTCACTGCTCTGCATTACGCAGCCATGCACGGCCGGGCGAGGATCGCGCGCCTGATGCTGGAATCCGACTACAGGAGCGACATCATTAACGCCAAGAGCAACGACGGCTGGACTCCCCTGCACGTCGCTGCTCACTACGGCAGGGACTCCTTTGTCAGGCTCCTCCTGGAGTTCAAGGCTGAGGTTGATCCGCTCAGTGATAAAGGTACTACACCACTCCAGCTGGCCATTATCCGGGAGAGGTCAAGCTGTGTGAAAATCCTCCTGGACCACAATGCCAACATCGACATTCAGAACGGTTTCCTGTTGCGATACGCTGTGATCAAAAGCAATCACTCGTACTGCCGAATGTTCCTCCAGAGAGGGGCCGATACAAACTTGGGGCGCTTGGAAGATGGACAGACACCCTTGCACTTGTCTGCTCTTAGAGATGATGTGCTTTGTGCACAAATGTTGTATAATTACGGAGCAGACACTAACACAAGGAACTATGAAGGACAGACCCCACTGGCTGTTTCAATAAGTATTTCTGGAAGTAGCCGACCCTGTCTGGATTTCTTACAAGAAGTGACAAGTATGTATGTAAGAGAAGTTAATCACAGGACACAATGTCCTCTAAAAGCCTTCTTTGAATTTAGCCCCCAGGAAAAAAAACAAACCTTCCTCTCTGCCCCTTTATGCTATTTAAATGCACTAGAAAATTTCTGGGAAGGTGAAGGGATTGTGATACTGGGAAACTCTTACTTGTCAAAGGAGCTAATGTTAAGTGTACTTCATTTAAATTAGTTTTGTTTAAATATCTACGGGAAGCATTGATTTTAAAAGAGTGAACTGTAAAATCTCATTTTATTTCTGGCCTTAGCACGTAAGATTTTTGAGTTTGGTTTTGTTGTTTGTTTAGGGGTTTTTTAGTGTCTTTTGTTTTGCTTTTTTATTGCCATGCAAATCCTCGGCAGTCGATGGCTTTTTCATCTGCACTACAACTAGGGCAGAAGAGAGCTTTGGCTGCTTTGTGTTCTCCCACATTCCCTCCTTCCCTCCCTTAAACCAGACAAAAAAATGCCACAGTTCATTCCTGCAACTTGAAGGGATTTCATGTGCTGTGTAGCTTTGATTTGATTTTGTTGATGTCTTTGAAATACGAGAGATTTTAATTCATCGTGACTTCTGATATTTAGAAAAAGTATTGGGCTCCAAATTTCTGGATCGCTTTTGATTCCCAGTTTTTGGTGCACTAGATCTACTGAAAGTTTTCCTCTCTCAACATGGAATGCTGTACTAATGTTTCATAATCACAGTATTTCCTAAAGCATATAGGAATTGCTGATAAGCATTTGGCAGAGTTTGCCAATTCAAATATGTTAAGATGGCCTGGTAAATTATCATCCAACTAGAATGATCTCTGCAATACAGAGGATGGGGTGTTTCATATATCCTTTTTTGTCCCCTACATCTCCTTTTATTTTTTTGAATGTGGTAATTTTTTAATGAGAATTAGATAACCTATATATTCTGTAAAGAAACTGAAAGTCAGTGTGGGCTGGAAGTGAATCAGCTGAGATCTGTTGTCAGTAGCTGACACAAATAAGCATTTGGAATTTCCTTTCTTTTTCTATAATGATTTGTGGTGTTGTTTTTGTTCATATCTGAAATTGAAAGAGAATTTCTGGAAAGGTGGAAGTTGGTAACAAGATATACAAGCAATTAAGCATTTTGGGTTTAATTTTTCTGCCCCTTCTCATTCAAACACATTTCTTTCTGGTTTCCTTTTTGGAAGCCTCTCACTATATAGTTGCAGTGTCAGGAATTTTAGGGATTTTAGGAGATGATATAATATCCAGACTTGCAGTGTTTCAGTCTTAGCATGTATCAGTAAGCATGAAAGCTTAGGTTGCTCCCCTGTTTCCTCAGTGTCTAAAGACCAAAGGAAACAGGTACTGTAACTTTCAGCTTGCAGATTCCATACCTTAAGGGTTTAATGTTAAGTGAGAAGTAAATTCTGCTACAAAAAAAAAGTAGCTTTAATTTGTGGCCAGTGTAACAGTGTTGGAACTGTCCCAGTTCTGTGCTGTTGGAGGGAGAACTGGGAAAGCAGTGCTGACAAAAACAGCTCTCTGCTTCTGAGCAAAATAATTATCAATATATGTTTACAAACCACTGTAAACAAACTCTGCTGCCCTTTTTGTAAATATCCAAACACTGTCTTCCCTGCTTTTCATGAATAATTAATAAGGTGCTGTATGAGAGATGAGAAGGATAAAGAGCAAGCTGGCATTTTGATAGTGGAGTTCCCAGTTAAGTCTGCCTGTACAGGGAATTGTTGAGATCTCATTCTGTAGTACTTTGGGGAAGAATATTGCTTATGAGTCTACTGCAATATGTATTTTCTAGAAAAAAAAATTTACAAAATTTTTGGACAATTTTTTTGTTGGAATTCTTCCTGAAACTCTTCTGAGGTTGGCAACAGTGCCTTGTTTGTGGGGCTTAACGGGAACTTCAGTTTATTTGAATCTTATACTAAGTGATTGATATGGAAATCCATAGCTGTAAGTTTTATATCTGCATCTGAAGTTTTGAAGAGTATATTTGATAGTAAAACAGGAAATAGTTTATATTTTTACAGTAGATTAACATTTTGAAGGTTAAAGATTAATAGATATTAAATATCAAAGTTACCAAACCGATCTGTGTCTTCAAGTGAAGGCAGTTGCATGCTGCACATAAATGGGATACTATTGATTAGTCTACATGTAAGCTGTGAGTAGCTATTTTTTTTATACTTGGAAAACGTATTTGTACAGTTTCAGTTTCTCAGAAAACATCATTTGTGAATTTCTTTTTGTTTTGGTAGGTATTGTAATCGGTAATAATGGCAGCCTTTAGCCCAGGTCCCCGGTTGGGAATAACAGGCAAGAAACCAAGCTCTCAGAAATACTCAGTATTGGCCCTGAGAGTCTGCAAGAAGATATTGGATTTTGGGGTTTGACCCTGAAGGTCTGATATTCTTCCTGGTTACAGGTAGAGATTCCTTTGCTCCTAGAATAATTCCAAGAGGAAGTTATTCTATAGTTGTGTCTCAGTATTTAAGCACAAAGCTGGAAGTTAGGAACAGCAGAGTTTTTGACCATGAGTCTGCTGTTGACTTGGTGTTCAGACTTGTGTGTTTTTCTTTTTCCCCCCTCTCTCTTTTTTACAATACAGAAATAAGCAAAGTCTCCCTGGGGAAAAAAATATTGAGGATGAAAACTGCTCAATGATTTTATTAATCACCTTCCTTCTCCTTATCTGTTTTACACTTTCCTAATTCAAAAAACATTTATTGGCAGCCACCATAGTACCTAAGATCATTTGATAAAGAGTTGGTTTGGAGCAGTGTAAATGTTTCCATTTTCACATGGCCTGAACCTGCCTCTTCAGGAGTGTTAATGTGATAAGCTTGGAATGCACTAATGCAAATTAAAGTAGAGAAGCATGTATATGATATATAGAAAGACAGAGATACATAGAGACTATTATTGGTAGTGTATATATTTATAAAATTAGTGTGCAATCACAGTCCTGGATGAAATTGTTTATTTTGAAGTTGAATGGGATTTGAGAATATTAAAACTTATAAAAACAAATGTGGGAGGTAGAAAAAATGCAAGTGTTAGAAAAATATGTAAGGGCTTAAGTAAGCTTCAAGATACTAGAAATTTCAATTAGGATCTTTAAATAAGGGAATTTTACAAAAGCCTGGAAACTGCCCCCTCCCCATAGCCCCCCTTTAATTGAATTTGTGTTCAGCTCAGGAGCAGGAGAGCTGTGAGGAGCTGCTGGTCTGTGTCGAGGCAGAGCTCAGGAAATGGCCTGGCCAGAGCAGTGTAATGTGGCTGGTGTGGAACCAGGTACCAAAGAACCCAGTTCAGTTCTGGAACAGCATCTGAAGGTCACCCAGTGAATTTAACTGCAAATGTTTCAGCTGCACTTTTCTGATTTTCAAAGGGCAGTTCTTTGGCTTTGACTAGAGAATGTAATTTTGTGTTTAAATTTATACAGCACTGTAAATATACAGAATAACTGAGACAGAAGTTCTGTTAAGGAAATCCTTAATCCTATACATCCTTTGTCTCTACCCCTTGGCTAAATCAAGATAACTTTTCACTAGAATTTTATTTTTTAACTGGAAGAAGATTTTTAAAAGTTTCTCTCTGCGTAGTTTTAACTTTTATAAATACAGAAGTGTCCTAGTGAATTTAGTAGATTTCTACATATTTTATTTCATGGATAATTTCAAAGGAAATGGTGTTTTCGTGTTTGTAATAACAGCAGATCTTTACTGGAATCTCAGGCTTTACTTTTTTCCTTGGGTGCTGCTGGAAATCTTGCAGTGATGATTAAGGTCTGCTTTGTCATCCAGTTACACAGGGAACTGGGATAAGGGGATTATTTTTTAATTTTCTACTCTACAGTTGACTATATTAAGTAGTTGAATCATATTGTGTAGGCATATAAGTTATTTACTTTGAAGGAATTTTTTAAGAGGCCTACATAAAAAAAAAATTAAAGACTATTTTTATATGTGGCACTTAAGGTACAGCCATGCTCTACTCCCATTTGTACACCTATGCTCTACTCTGCAAAAATAATTTTAAAATAGCATAACAATGCATCTTAAACCTGTCTTGATGTTCAGAGTACTTTTCTTACTGTCTCCTAAAAATAGATAAACATTATGGTGTTGAAATTCTTAGCTGCATTTCCATAGCAATTTCAGTGAGACTGAATTTACAGAGATGTCACAATTTTTTTTTTAAAAATACCTTTGCAAGCACATTCAAATCTAAATTTCATTGCCAAATACACCTGTTAAGTATAACATTGAGCCTTACTGATATTCTGCTTTTTCATATAGGAATTTTCAGTCCAAAATAGTACATAATTTCTGTGCCAGATAGACTGAAATTTAATAGATATCTAAAACTCATTGTGGGGAATTATTTTTCAGAGACCAATGAAAACATATGTCAGGCTCAGACATTCTAGCAGAGACATATTGAACACAAAATTAAATTAGAACTTTTAAAATAGCTTGTTTGATATCCAGTTAAAAAGCTCTCCATGTCCTGTCGAGCTGGAGGGATTTGTTCACGCTCTCAATGCACACTCTGTGATTCTACACTCATCCCTGCATGTCTGATATTAATATTTTAGACCTATAGATTTTTGATATTAGCTTTTTCTGATGTTTTGAATGCTGGCAATTATTGCAATAATCTCCAATTCTTCTGCAGTTGTTTTATCCAGAGTACAAGCAGTGCATTTCCTAAATTTTACACCTACTGCACTGAGCAGCCAAGCTCCCCTTGGCTCAGCCTCAGTCACTCCCTAGGTGATCCCAGCCTTTCCCTGTGATCCCAGTTTTGTGCATCCTCCCCAGTGTGTTTTGTGGCTGCTGGGTGGGAGTTTCCAGTTTATAACTTCAATTATCTTTTTCATTTCCCCCCCCTCAAAAAAGTCAACAAATTCAGAACTCAGTTTAATTGCTGGCAGTAGCTGCATTCCCTCACCACTGTGAAATAAGGGTTGGGTTTAAGGGCTTGCTGCAGAAATAAATACTTTTCCTGATATTCTAGAGGAGCTGAGCTGTTGCCAGCATACATCAGCCTGGTTTCAACGTATTTTGTAAAATGTTTCAGATTATTTTTATTTTTAAGTTCCCTTTGTAGCTAGAAAGAAATTACCAAATGGTTTCTTGCTACTGTTTTCAGCCTTTCAGAATTCCCAGGAGGGGCAGAGGCTCAGTTTGAGAAATACCACTCTAAGGTTTTTTAGAGAGATGCATTAATATTGTAGAGAAAACTGTGGGCGGCTTCTGAAGTATGTCACTGATGTTATTTTTCATTTTTCAATTTCTTCAGAATCAGCCTATCCACTTGAAACCGATGGCACTGATTGTTTGCTTTAAAAGTATTTTTCTTTTAGTAGTTAGAACAATACATCAGAGGGGATCTTCTTGCAGCCTACAATGTATTAATTTCAGTCATTCCCAAGTTTTCTCGTGGGTAACAGAAAGGTCAATTCATGATTGTTGCATTGTATTTTTACATGGATTTTTTTTGCTCTCTATCTGCAGTGGAGGAAATGGGTAGGGATTCCTCTTTTCCAGCCTTACAGCACTGGATTAAAGTCCCCAAAAAAGATTGTTGTCAGAGGCATCACAAATATGCCTTAATAGTCCTTAAATATAGACTTACAGGGTGAGTTAGTGTTTTATTTCTTGGGGAGCATTGTCTGCAGAGGGAAGGCAAGGTATAAATGCAGAGCAGTTTTAACATTGACACAGTTCTTTGGCCAGGTAGCAGATCCTAAATGGAAGATTTGTCTGCCTGTGGGATACAACAGAAAACTCTCAGTTATCATACCAGAAAAATCTTGAAACTGCAAAAAGAAAAGGAATGGAGTTTTGAGTGGAAATTTAGATTAATTGTAATAATTTCTTGCTGTTAAAACATGGGGGTTTTTTCCTTTGCTTTACCAGCAAAGGCTGATCTTTTAATAATAATTTAAAAGGCTCATTTCATTATCCAAGTAAAAGAATTATTTAAGTGGGAGAAAGCTCAGAAACTTTGTTAGCAGCTGAAGAACTGATTTAGGAAAATGCTTAAATTTTATACATACTGAAGTCTGCTGCATCTAGATTAGAAAAAATCAAAAAGCAATTCCTCTTGATTCTTTAAAGTCATGCCTAACATTTCTTTTGTTTGGAAGAAGCTTTTCTGTCAGGTTTGGGACACCGTACACAAGAATTGCATTGGTGGGGATTTCTGCTTTCCCTTCCAGCACAGAGCACAAGCTCTGGAAGGCAAAAGATGAACTGTGCTTCTTTTCCCTGTAATTAATACTTCTAATTTCTTTGATTGCTGCTTTAAATCTTGCAAAATAAATTGACTGCAGCATGTAACGATTTAGTGAACACATGAGTAAATCCAGAGTAACAGCAGCAAGGTGGCCCTTCAGGGATGTGCTGGGTGTTTTTAAGGTGATCAGTAGTTTTATGTGCCTGTTTTGCATGATAGTGGTAATTAGGCCAATCCTACTTTTCATGTTTGTGGGGTTTTTTGTTTCTTTCTCTTTTAATTCTCTTCCTTTCCAGCTTATTTGCCTAAATAACTTCCCAAACTTGTGCTGCAGGATATAACCAAAGCTGCAACTTCCTAATCGTTTTTAAAGAGAACTTTATTCATCATTTAACTTGTCTTACTTTGCCAAGTTACTAATAACATTTTTCATTTGCCAAACTAAGGTTCACTGACATCGGTCTGTAATCCTTTATTTTTTTTTTCTTTTTCATTCAGATGCAACCAAGAATGAGTAAGTGTTCCAGACACCGTTTCTAATAAATCACAAATGCATTAATAACCCTGGAATTTGCAAGGCGTGACCTAAGACACCAGCAGCCACTAGATGTAGCAACTGGTGCTTAACACTGGAAATGTCCATTGTTAACACATTCCCAGGAAATATTTTTTAGGCTTATCAGGGGAAAATGTCATACATTTGATAATCAGGTCTTTTTGAATTAACTGATGACCAATTTCTTCTGGGTATTTTAAGTTGTCTGTTCTTTTATGTTCTCAAAAACCACGTAGGATGTTAATTAAAAGGCATTTATTTCTGAAACCAGAAATCAGTGTCTCATAGCTGATTTATTGTGTACTCTGCTACAGAAAATACACAAAGTCCTCTAGTCCTTTATCCTTTCTAATACTGCTGTTTGCAGTCAACTTTTGCTTTCTGAGCCCTGTTTTAAAGTATCAGAACAATTTCTTTATTACCATTAAGATTGCTTAATTTCTTACCAAAATAACTTTCCTTTCCCTGAAGTTTGAGCATTCTGTTGTCTGAGTTGCTTAAATTCTTTCCTTCAGGTGGAAAAAAATTTGCCAAGAAGAAACCACTGGTGGATAAAGTAACCATTGGTCTGTGTTCTAAGTTATGGATGAAGGATTTAACTAAAAATAAATTAACATTTAGGTGGTGATAAGTATAATAAAAGTATTTTCAATTTACATAAAGGAAACTCAAAATTTTCATGTTTTTTTAATTTCTAACCTAATTTCCTTAAAAGCAGCCTGAGACTATTTTCATGCATTACTTCTGCTGGCTTGCCCTGGATAATTTTAGTGCTTAAGATAAATCCCAGTGTCTAAAAATCCCTACCTGTCTGTCAGCCCATTTCTATAGATACCAACGGAAGCACCTACATTGTTCAGGGTGCTGAGTGTTTTGAATTTTGCATTCATCAGGTCCCATAACCAAGTCTTGGCTTGGAGGAAAAAAAAAATTAAGAAAAAGAGGCTTACACAGTTAAGTTGATGATCAAAATATTGATTAGCACAGCTTTGATGTGTTACTGGAATAACTCCAAAGAAGCTGTAGCAGAATGAGGAAAAAGCACAAAGGCAGGCAGTTTGTTCAGAGGTTTGGAGTGGTTCCCATGGTGGGGGTTGTTAGCTGCAGTTTTCAGCTTTGGGAAGAGGTACCAAGCAGGAGTGGAGGATGGAGGTTTATATAAAGGTATGTAAAAACCATGACTGGCGTGGGAACAATTATTCATTATTTTCCTTGTAACTCAAAGAATGGCAGGCATGCAACAAAGCCATCAGGAAGCAGATCTAAAATAAATAAAATTACTTTGCAGTTTTCCAGCCAACGCCTAATTATATTGTGAAATTTGTTGCCACAGGATGTTTTGGATACTGAAAGTATGAATGGGTTCAAAAAACACTAGACAGATTTACAAAGGACAAGCTATTCACAGCTATTAAAGACATAGATCTGTGTGCAATCTCTGGGCTAGGAAGGCCCAAAGGCACCAGTGCTGAAAGCTAGAAGGGTTTATTGGGGCAGGATTTCTCAATGTCTGTTGTTCTGCTCTTTTTCTCTTTCTTTCTTCCTTGGGATCCGTTGCTGGGTGCATTCAGATACAAGACTTGATTAAATTTTTTGAGATTATTTTGGTTATAGGGACCAAACCTCAATTTTTCTCAAGGTGTTTGATTTTGAGTAGTTTCCTGGTAAGAATGAGCTTGAAAGAGAATTGATAATTTTGGAAAATCCTGGACAGGAATGCTGAAGTTTGTATTTGTCCTGGTTTAGGGCAAATCTGGGAGAAAGGACAGCCTAGGACAGTGTGACATCAGTAAAGCTTTTCCTCTGTGGACAGTGGTTAATTCACATTTTCATCCCTTTCTGTTGGATGAGGGTTTGGCTGCATCCAAAGCCTGAAGGCTTTATCTTTTCATTAGAAGGCAAAGAAAACCCCAGTCTTTGACTCTGCCACAGCTATCCTGGAATAACTTTTATAAATCCTTACTCTCTAAGGAAACTTCCTAGTCATGTTACAGCTGAACTTAGAAGTTTCTGTCTCATTGTTTGAAAGAAAAGCAAGACTGAGGGGTTTTTCCCTCAAGTATAGAAAAAAATCCACAAAAAGTTAAATGGAGGAGTTCTGCTGTTCTGTAATGCATAAGCATATGTTGCCACCTGGTGGGAATCCTCACATGGGTGAAATCACTTTACACTGGCATCAGTAAAATTATGTGCATATAAAAATGTTTTCAGGACTCATCCCTTGATTTCATTGAGTTCATTAAAAAGGTATTAACTTGTGATTCTCTTGTAATTTTCCCCTTCCCTCTCCCTCTTAGGAAACAGCAAACCCCTGTCATTTTGCAGAGTAAATGATGTCTTACAACACATTTAAAATGTGATCATTTTATTTTTATGTGTTCCTTTTGTCTTTTCAGGACAGCCCAGAAACTTGCAAGATCTATGCCGAATTAAAATCCGTCAGTGTATAGGCCTTCAAAACCTCAAACTGCTTGATGAACTACCCATTGCCAAGGTCATGAAAGACTACTTAAAACACAAATTTGATGATATCTGATATCCATGAAGAGAGGAACTGTGAGCAAGTTTAGTTCTATTCCAGATACTGAAGAGGCTTGTTGCCTTGCACAAAGTATATCCTATGCAAATTCTGATTTTTCTGTGAAGTCAGAAGGCAGGTATACACTTCCTTGGGTTTTTTATACCACACGCTAGAAGGTCTTAATTTTTGGTTTCTTGGTCCAAGTTTACAAGGTCCAAGCTTTCTATACAATATTGCATTTTAAAAATTGCTGTTGGTTTTCTGTTTGTTTTCACATTATGTGTGCAGACTTGCCGTGGAGATGGAAGGCAGCCCCTCGAGGGAAGTGCTTGGTTTGAGCTGGCATGCTGAGCAATGATGCAAGAACATAAAAGTCTGGAAATCAATGCACCAGTCCTGCAAAAGGATACAGATAGACCTCCAGAACCTTGTTTGTTAGGACCTCTGTCTCTGCCAGGTGTTTCTTTTGCAGGACAGAGGGAAGAGGGGATAATTGACATGTCCTTGGGTACTGTATGAATATAATTTGGAAATTGAGGAAAAAAATGCAGTTACCCTGCTCAATTTGAGGGTCTATAGGTCTATACATTGGCTTGTTTTTTGGTTTTTTTGGCATTTTTCTTTTCCTAATTACTGTAGTTGGGATGCCCAGAGAATTCAGGCCCTCTTTCCCAATATTCCCTGGTGAATGGGCTGTTTGTAAGTCTGTTTTTACCAGTGACAGTACACTACAGAGAGGCATAGCCTCTGTATTTTTTACATTAACTTAAGAGGAAACAAATTTAGATTTTTTTGAAGCCAATGTATTCTGTTGCTCATGCAGTGCCTCCTGTGCAATAATCTCTCTGATGTATTTTCCCTTGATGTGTGATTCCCCCACTATTCCTCATTTAGGCTCAGTGCATTATTTGTGAGAGCAGGAGCTGCTGCCTCTCTGTAGTGTTGGTATGACATTACAGAAATGATGCAGCAGCTCCTGTTCATTATTACTCCCTGAATTTCATGAATGTATAACCTGCTTTATTTCACTTTCAGTTGAGATTTTATCTACGGGTTCTCGGCCAAGTTGTGTCCAAAAAAAAAAAAGGTAAATTGGCCAAACCCTTTGGTTTTAAAAGCAGTGTTGGGGGTGGGGGTTGTTTTGACTGCTCTGAAATTCAGTTTGTTTCAGGTTAGAGAGCGGGAAGTGCACATAAGTTATTAACTAAGAAGACAAGCCCCACTGACATTGAAAGGTCAAACTTTGCAATTAATCTGAAAGCAGAAACTGAGAGGAGTGCTGAAATCTGGCTACTGAATGTGTCTTTCAAATTCAGGTATTAAAAGATCTGTTGCAGAGTTTTGTTTCTGATCGTAGGAAAAAATTAATTTCTTGATCAAAAGATTGGGCCAAAATGTGCAGTTGTTTCCCTCTTTATTTTCAAGGCATTACAGACTCAGCATAAGGTTCTTGCCAGTGTTCTCTACTTTTATTTTGGCATCTGCCTGGCTCCAGAAGAGCCCCTCTGATAGTAGGAGTGCTTTTGTAGCAATTGCACCAACCGATGTGGGAGATGAAAGGAATGATGATGGCTTTTAGTTTCACACTGTCACTTTCAAAATACTTAGTGTTAAAAATAGGAAAAGCAAGGTAAGGCAGGTAAACTCATATTATTTAACTCTGCTAGTTCCTTTTAATATTTGATAACCCTGGACTGCAGCTCCCTGAGAATGAACCTTATCACTGCTAATGGATGCATGGAACCATGGCAAGCAAGGAGGATTAGCTGTCCCTATTGTGGCTGGCATTGCATCAGGTTTGCAGACAATGAGGGATTTTGGAGATTCATGGCTCACAGGGTTGGCAATGGGCCGTTGAACCTTTTTATCTCCAGCTTGTAGCAGTTCAAGTCCAGCTGCTGGAGCAGTGACCAGGAGGTCACATCTTGGCTGTGGGAGTGAGCAAGTCCAGCCTAACACCCTGCACTGGTTTGTAGAGCTTGTGGTGCTTCCTCCTGGTTGTATCTGTGGAGTAGGGACAAGCTGTGAGCTGGAGTGCATGGCTCAAACCTCTTGGCCCCTTGTGGAGGGAAGATCAGCCATTCCAATCTTTGAGCTCTCCAGTGCTGAGACAGGGCAAACTGGCAGGTTTTAACTCAAATCTTCTGTTTTCTGACATGAAATCAGGAGCTTAAAACTGTTTTCTTTAAAAAAAAAAAACAAAACAAACAGAACAGACTTAGTATTGTTCACTACAGTTGTAAGTTGGTCTAAACCAACATCCTTCCCCAATGAATTTTTACAGTAATATTTTCTAAGGTAATCTAGAGTATATTTTAGTTGCAATCTATATTAAGACAAATTATTTGTTCTGTCTGTTGCTGTGACTGAAGAAAATTATGAAAGACTTTGTTGGTAACAAGAATGCTATTTAATGAAGAAATGTGTAATTCCATTATTTATTGTTTGAGGTTTGTTTTTTGGTTATTTCTTTTAAGTAACTGACATCTAAAAGGGAACACACATATGTTTCAGGCCAGTAAAAAGCCTTTCTTCTAAATTAATTTTCATCCTCTCCTCTCCCCAGGGTGGAGGGAAGCCCTCACCCTTTTTTGCAATGCTAAGCCATCTCTTGTAGCTGGTTTCTCACCTTAATTCTTGCAAAGCAGCACAGCACACGTGGGTCTGAACCTACTGATAGTCCTGTGCACTATCTCTGGTTATCCATGTGCTCAAGTGCAGATAAAGTGGGATTATTCATTGATAATCCTACCCAAATTTCAATAAGGGGGAATTTGGTCTTTTTTTTTTTATTATTATTTTCAATATTGTGCACAAATACTTTGAAGAACAAACTGACTTTTGTTTTTCATTTGGACTAGAATGTGGAAGGAGAAGTGCATAATAGAGACTTGTGATGTAGCCTCGTTCCGTTACCTTAAAATTCACGGTTGAACACTTTTAATAAACCTTAAAAAATTGGCAAACACACCAAAGAATCAATATGAGTAAAAGACTCTGATCATTAACAAACTGCAAACCTCATCCTTTAAAACAAAGCAGAAAGTTTTTGTAAATATTTATGTTTATAAATGTACAGCAGAGTAAGAGTGTTTTTTAGATTATTTAATTACCATATTTCTAAACTATTTACATTATAGACAATACTTGTTAGTTTGAAAAGCTCGAGTGGGTTTGTTTTGTTTTGGGTTTGTTTTCTTTCTTTCTTTTTTTTTTTTTTTTTTAAATTCACTATCACTCATGCTTGGAATAACTCTGGCTTCCTTGGGATAGCGTGGAAAATTCGTTTTTCTGGCTCTGGTTGGCAATCATAGGAGAACACATCTGGACAAACTCTTCAGATAAATACCCAGAGGCAAAAGAAAAGATACGGCATCTTTACCAGGATGGGCTGGTTTGGAGGAAAAAACCTGTCCACAAGTACAGCTTCCATGCAATGCTGTGTTACCAATACCATCATGTATTTTGTTCTTCCTTTGCAATGTAAGTTTTTGCTTTGGGTCAATTTGAATTTAAAAAAAAAAAAAAAAAGAAAAAAAAAGAAAAAGAAAAAAGTTAAACCTGGTAAAAACCTATTTTTGGTTTATGTTCTGTTTATTTCTAATGTAATGTTTTAATAACATAATACCACTTTACACATTTTCTCTCCATGTTTGTCTGTCTCTTCTGCTCCTGTTCCCTTCTCTGGGGTACATGCTTCTGTAATGCATTTGGGACTCAAAATGCCCCCACAAATGGGAGTTCAGATGTCTCATAAGTTGTAATGTGATTTTTTTTTACCAGTAAATAGGGACAAAACCCTCATAGAATAGTTTGCTGTGGAAGGGACCTTAAAGCTCATCTTGTCCCACCCCTGCCATGGTCAGGGACACCTTCCCCTGTCCCAGGCTGCTCCAAGCCCTGTCCAGCCTGGCCTTGGACACTGCCAGGGATCCAGGGGCAGCCCCAGCTGCTCTGGGCACCTGTGCCAGGGCCTGCCCATCCTGCCAGTAAAACAAAACTCACTCTAGAGCTGGGCTTTGGAAGGGGGATCAAACTGCTCCTAAACTGCGAGTGGTTGGGTTTTCCCTGCTCAGATTCCAGCACTGCCACTTCAGGCTTTTCTGACAGGTTCACCTTTCCTCCTCAAGCTCATGCACTGACCCAGATACAAAAATGACCAAACAGAGGCTGCATTTTAGGCTCTATTTACTACTAATAAAAAAGGGGGGTGGATATGAATATTCTTGGTACACAAATAGAAACTGGAACATTTGGGTTCAGTCATGAGAAAAATGTGCAACCAAAAGCTGCAGTAAGGTTTTGGACTCTAAAAATTTGGAGAGGAAGGAGACTAGATTTCAAGACATTACTGCTAAAGGGTAATAGGGGAAAAAAATGCTGTTTCCATTGCTCAGTAGCAAACTTCACAAACATCACTGAGAGAACATTCACTGTTCAACCAGCAGTTGTGTTTAGAGCTGCTGCTGATGGTTTCTAGCAGACTGGCCAGGCTTTGGCTGGGCTGTACTGAATGCTGTGCTAAAGACTTTGTTCCTGTTTATGTATCATATTTCCTGTATGAGTGTTCACTTGTGAAGTTTAAAACAATTAATGGCTAATGTTACTACTTGGAAAAACCTGATTTACAAGCTGTTGACAAATGATGTGTTTAGAATATACAATCTTTATATATATTGGTAGAAGTGGGTGATAGAGAAGTGTACTTTTTTATATGGCAAAACATGGGGTTTTTTTACCATAATGAATAACAAAAATTAGAACCTTTGAAAGAAAAATTAGCACAGCACAGAACAGGCTCTGCTGTGTCTTTTCCCAGACAGGCTGGAGTAAACCATTTAAATTCTCTTTACTCAAGTCTTTCCCTTCTGCTTTGGTTGGGGCTACCACTACCTCTAAGGTTTTATCCTGCTCTGGAAATTGGGATAGACTAAAGTTTGCTTTTCCTTTATCACTGCACACTGAGTCTCTGCTGTAGGATTCTAGTCCTTGACTTATTAGCCAAAGTAAAGCTCAGCATGTGATTTAATCCCAGGGCAATAAGAAACAAAGCAGGTATGTGCACTGCTTTATGAAACCATGCTACCAGGAGTTCTTCAGCCAGTGCATTCCCCAGGGAACCACAACGTGCAGCTGGAACAGCAAAACACCGGGCTCAAAAGCTCTG